GAATGCACGGGTGGGGTTGCATTATGGAGGAGAACACTGAGTTTTGAAAGGGGAGGGACAGAGGTTGCAAAGTCATGAACATTTGTGTTGAGTGAAACAGAATTTTTGAATTATGGTGATTTTTTTGTAGGAGAATCCAGGCCATTAAAAAAGAAAGGGAATCATCAAAATAGAGTTCTTAGACCAGCAAGATGACTCTGGGTAAAGGTACTTGCTACCAAGACTGGCATTGAGAGTTAGGTGCCTAGATCCTACATGGTAGAAAGAGAGAACTGACTTGTGCAAGTTGTCCTCTGACAGACATACATAATACATAATGCATACATACATTATAGACTTTAAGAGTTAACAGGGGCATGCATGGGCACACACACACACACACACACACATACACACACATCACCACCACCACCAAGCACCATCACCACCAATACCACACAACTAAAATTTAAATACTTCTTCTGTGGCTCTGAGTAGAAAGGCTGGGCTCCCAGACCACGGGAAGCTGTTTCTGTGATGAATGCCTGCTCCCTGGCCCAGGCCAACAGATGTTCTCAAGGTCCACACTGTGGGAACACAAAGATGAGTTCATTAGGGAGTGACTGGGAACTGGATTCCTGGTGATTCTTCAGCCAGGAATGGGGAAACAGGATAGAGGTATGAGAAGCAGAACAGTATATATTGGGGGAACGGCTCACAACAGAAATGGGCCTCCCATAGAGAGCTGGCCCAGGCTCAGACTCCTCTTTCCCAACACCCAGTGACTTGATTTGGGGATGAATTTCCCAAAGCTAAGAATGTGGACTTGTTGGAACCCAGCCTTAAGCTATAGTTAACGTCTGGATGCAGCCAGTACCAGATGACCTCATCTCCAGCACTTCTGCATTTGCTCAGAAGGCAGCTCCCCATCTTTGAGCAAATCTAATGATAACAGCTCCATTATCTGCTGCAGCTGCGATGGGGCAGCCTCCCCACCGGGCCTTGGTGGTTTTCTTTAATCCTTTCTTTAGGAATGAAGATTGCTCTTTTTTTCCCCCCAGGATAATTAGAAATTGTGGGAGAAATCTACTCATTACTCGGCATGATCAGGGCAAAATGCTAAGTGGTGAAAAGGATTTTGGGTTTTGAAACCTAACTTTCCCCAAAGTACATAAGGAAATTAATTCAGAAGGAAATAGGAAAGCCATCAGCTTATAATCAAGGTTTCTCCAGCAACTGTGTTCTTGTACTGGGAACCAGACGGCCCTTCTAGAGGGACATTTTCATTCTGGACACATTACTTTGATCTAGGATCGGTTACTTTAAAACACAAAACTTTCTTGCAATCTGACTTTAATCAAGGCTCATTAACCTGGCATTTAGATTCATTATGTATATATATAAAGAAATATCATGGCCTAGCATTCCAGCTTTTTGAAGTTTAGGTAAATTTACCTAAAAAGCCAAGTGACATATTTCACATGTCTTTGCTCCTGTGTTAAGTTCTCCATGCAGCAATTCAATTAAAAATGTGTAATGTAGCAGAAAAAGATGAAAATTTTTGATTTCGAGTTTGTGCTTTAAGCTACGAGGAAGATCTTTAACTTTGGAGTGGAGCCAAGGGAGGGACCCAGAGACCAGATCCACTTCCCAATGTTCATAGACAGTCTTTGGAGTTATGGTGTTAAAATGGCCATTTTTTACTTTAAGTCGGTCACGAGATCCAAGTGGGAAGTGTTTTAACACTCCAAATTCTCAGTTTTGAAATCACTTTCAATTCCCTGGCCTTCGATGCCTGAGTGCATTTGCTTTTGGCAGAGGGCCAATAAACAGAAAAAAAATCTCATTTATTTATTCATCCACTGACCAAACCCCCACCAAAAAAATAAGAAAAACATGTCAGTGGTTCCTAGAAAAATCAGTCTACTGTCTTGTCAGTTTCTTAACAAGACCAGTTTTGCAAAAGTAAAAAGGGAAGAGTATTCGGACACACCCTGAAACATGGAAGAACCATGAGGGTGTGAAAAAAGTCAGACAAAAAGGACAAGGGCTTTAAGGTTCTCTCTCTGTGTGTGAGGTACTGAGAGCCACTGAATTCACAGAGGAAGGGACTGTCAGAGCTACAGAACAGGGTGGGCCAGGGGGTTAGTGTTCAGTGGATATAGGTTTTCCATTTGATAATGACTTGGAAGTGACACCATCAACGTGCCAGGTGCCATGAAGCCAATCATGTAAAGATGGTTATGATGGGAAGGGAACATTTGATGGGATACACAGTGCTCTGGGTTTGAATCCCTAGGGCTAATAAATACACCATATGTATTTTAGTGCAATTTTATTTTGAAAAAAATGTGAATTGCTAACTGGGGGGCAGTGGTGGCACATACATTTAATCCCAACACTCAGGAGGCAGAGGCAGGTGGATTTCTGAGTGTGAGGCCAGCCTGCTCTACAGTGTGAGTTCCAGGACAGCCAGGGCTGTTACACAGAGAAACCCTGTCTCAACAAAACAAAAATAAACAAAAAAAGTGAAGCCAGGCATTGGTGGTGCATGCCTTTAATCCCAGCACTCGGGAGGCAGAGGCAGGTGGATCTCTGTGAGTTAGAGAGGCCAGCCTGGTCTACAGAGTGAGTTCCAGGACAACGTGCAAAGCAATACAGAGAAACCCTATCTAAAAAAAAAAAAAAAAGGAAAAAAAAAAAAAAAAAAAGGGGGGTTGTTGGGTGGGGCAGGGGATTAGTAGTGTTTGCTTAGCATGCACCAAGGCCTGAGTTCAGCTCACCAGCACCACACACAGTCCTGCATGGTGGTGTATGTTTGTGATCCCAACACTTGGAAGATGGAGGCCAGGGGATTGACAGTTCGAGGTCATGCTCAGCTACACGTCGAGGTTGAGGTCAAAGGGGGAAAGGAACTTGCTGGCACAAGCATTTATTTCCTAGGATGCTCTAGGATGAGTCATTCTATGTGGTTCCTTTCTCCATCCTCCCAGATTTCGCACCAGCCATCGGGACTGGACACAAGTAAAGCCGGGAAAGTTGGCTCCAGCTTTTGGAAGGCCGGTGAATGGAAGGGAAAGAACTTACTAGAAAGTGTATTCTCTGGAAAAGTCCCAGGCCCAAGTGTATCCCCATGGGGTGCTGGGCTTTGGGTCTATGCCATGTTTTAGTAAATAGAACATAGGTAAATGTCAATGCAGTGTCAGTCCCTCGACAGAAGCCAGTGATCCTCTTGGGGAAGCTTTCTGTTTTTGTTCTACATGGTGTGCTGTACATGTCTCTGTTCGAAGTCTACTGGGCTCAGAAAGGATGGTTTCATGGGGCCGGAAAACAAGGTGTCACAAACCCTGGCTGTTTCATGTACAATCCTGTTTATTTCTACCACAGCAAGCTCTGTCTGGTGGGATTTTCTGTGATAACAGTGATAACATTTATGCTGTTACGTACTTGAGATGTGGCTGTTGGAATTAAATGTTTAATTTTATTTAATGTAAATTTAAACAGCTTGGTGTGGCTAGCGGGCACCTTGGAGAGCACAGCCCTGGGTGGTCCTTGGTTGTGTGGCTCCTGTGTAGTTCATATTTGACCTGGAGGCACACAGCTCCATTTAGCTCTGAGGAGACTGAAGAATTCTCAGCTGCTTAGGACAGAGGAAATAGTTTTCTTTTTGAAAACAGACTGTCAGGTCACACAAATTTTGACAAATGGAGTACTTTTGTTTGATTCACCAACTATTGATCCAATTAGCAGTTAACAATTACTAACTGAACCCCTGCAATAGGACACTCTGTATTTAGGAATGATGTTTCAGACAAAGTAATATTACTCAGCGTTAGACAGAAAAATGCTCTGTCTGGGGTATAGCTCACCCACCTATTATATGCAAATCTGTCAAGCCACAAAAAGCCAGGGGGGACTAGAAATGGCCTCCCGAGAAGCCAGACTAAGAAGCTCAGAACCCAATGGTTACAGCTATGAGACATTCTGGCAAAAATGAGGGACAAACTAAAGATCAGGGTACCTCAGGGGAGGCAGATAAGGAAGGATAAGTAGCCAGGAGACTTTTAGGGTAGTGAAACTGCACTAAAAGACTCTGCAGTGGTGGCTACAAAGACCACTATGCCTTTGTTACAACCCACAAAGGCACAGCCAAGCCAAGCACGGACCCCAGTGTGAAACAGGGGCTGGGGTGATGGTGGTGTGTGCATGCAGGTTCTTTAACTGAAACAAATGTCTGCCTCAGATGTAGACACAGCTCCTCCAGACATATAGGGTGCTGACATGGTCCCATCTGGGAGAGACTGGGAGGGGAGCCTGGCTGTGACCTGAGTTAGCCCAGCAGCTTTGTACTCACTGTCTTGATGTCCCTTGGCCATTTCCTTGGTGTGGCTGCCCTACACTAGGGATGTTAGCTAACATTGGCAGCTAGTGAGCTCCTCCCATGGTAAGCACAGCTGGGGACAGCAAACTATTTGGGCTCAGCTTCACTTCCCCAGTACTCAGAGGCTCCAGGTATCAAGGAGGTGGGTGGGTTTCCTGAAGGATGAAATATAGCCTGGGTTTGGGGCTCCTGGGCTTAGATGCACTTCATATTTGCTTGGGGAGTTCTGAAATGTGCATGAGGTAAAGGCCTTGACGATGCGTGGGAAGAAACTGGGCCTTCGTGCCAGCAAGCATTTTGTCACTAAGTTACACCCCTGAAAGTTTGTAAAAGTCTGTGGTAAGATTTTTTTTCCTGCAGTTCCTGTGTTATGAGGGCTCCTGGATATTTTAGTGGTTCCTCCTAATCTCTGGAGCCCCTTAGACTGGGAACCCCACTTCATCTGGGAAAAATACCATTAAGTTTATGGGGCTAATCCTGTGCCATGCCCCTGCTAGCCCCTCACCCAGATCTGGGGACCCTTTGGCAAGGCCCAAGATCACCTCAAGGGCCTGTCACTTACATAGGGAGAAATTCCTCTAAGCTTTCCTGTGTCTGAAGGTGGCTGCCTGATCTCTCCCAGCTGTTGCCACCAGCCAGAATGACCTCTTCCTCACAGCTTGAGGTGTTGAAGGGTACCACCAGAGCCCTGCAACTGGCTGACTGGGGCCAGGCGGGTGTGGATGGTGCAGTTAGAGCAGGGTGGGATCTCAGGAAACGTTGCTGTGTGATGGTGAGCTGGCGGCAGCTACACCCTTGCACATGGGTGAGCCAGTCCTTTCTCACCCTCCAGCTCCTGGCTCAGGGTTAAGGGAAGGCTCTAGTGGGGTGGATAGGATGCAGCCTATCACATTCTTTTCTTCAGAGGGACATAGTCTGTTCTGCTGGGTGCAGCCTTATCTGAAAGGTTTCCCGCAGGCTGTCATCTACTGGCAGACCCATACGCAAACACATTTTCACATTCCATCTTAATGCTCCAGGGAGCAGAGTTTTCTTTCTGAGGTTACACATTCTTCTAGCGTGATGTTCTGCCTGAGTATGCAAGATGTGCAGGGCAATGGTCCCTAAATGTGCAGGGATTCCATGAGTGCCGGGGTGGGAGGGAGCCCAAGGCTGGTGTCTACCTGGACTGGAGTAGATGCTGAAGCACGTGTCTGCTGTGTGGGAAGGTCAGATGCTTCCTCCCTGGGTGTTGGAGCTTTCTGGAATATTTCCAAGTGGATCGCTGCTTTGAACTGAGAAACTGCCAGAGAGAGCAGCTGGCTGCTGTGACCTGCTGGGAGAGTGTGTGTGGTACAGAAGGACTCAGAAGTTTCCATTCTAACTTGAGAATGAACTTGAGCAACACACTTCACCCCTCAAGTCTCTGTTTTCTTGCTTGCAACAAGAGGGCAAAAATAAGTAGGGCCAACATAATTCTCTTTTGATGTTTTGTCGTGGCCCGGCTTGTCTCGGCTTTAACCCATGACAGCCATGAGGTTCTACCTGAGTGGGGGTGTGTGAACCTGGAAGCTTCTTGGAACGCAACGACAATAAAGACCAAACACAGTCATCTTGTCATCTCTAGAGAGCTCTCAGTTCCATGTTTTGGAACTAGAGCTATTTTTTTATTAGCCATCTTTTCTGGTGTCCCTTAACCATCCTGCCAATACCATGAGGCAAACATTTCTCCTCTGTTCTCTCTCTCCACTCGCCCGCTTGGCTCCTAACCTTCTGTCCTAACTCACAAACCACCAGCACCTCCGCCCAGATGAGAGCCTATTCAGATGCTTAGGCACATAACAGATGCAAATAAGAGGCATATTACCCTCAGGCCAGGTAAATAGTTACAGCCTGGTGTTAATTAACAATACAATGGCGACTCAGAGCTCCCTGGCACTGCTGTTTACGTGGCCAGGGCCTGGAACCCAGAATATTTCATAACAGGGATATTCGGTCCCTCACAATGTTTAAAATTTATCTCCCCCCATGTAAATAGTATGAGTATGTATAAGTGTGTGTCATATGTACATATGTGTGTGAGTGTATGTGTCTCTGTGTGTAAGTAACCATGTGTGAGGGTGTGTGTGTCTGTGTGTGCTTGTATGTATGAGAACATATGTGTTTGTGTCTCTGTGTGTGCACCTATGTGAGTGTGTGTATGTGTGTGTCTGTGTGTGTTAAGTATGTATGTGTCTGGTGTGATGTGTCTGTGTGATATGTGTACATGTGTGAATATGCTGTGTGTGTGTGTGGTATATATGCACATGTATGTGTGTGTGAATGAAAATGTGTGTTTATATGTGAGTGTATTGTGATGTATGTGTCAGTGTGTTAGCGTATATGTATGCTTGAGTGTATGTATTGAAGGGACCAGCCCCCTGCTTTAGCAGCTATGACAGGCTGTAGAAAAGACATGCAGGCCTCTGACTCAGCGCATATCTGACCTTGCTGGGCCTGCCCTAGTCACTAGGAGGTCAGATACCCTCCTTGTGGCAAGGGACCAATCAGAAGTTAGCTGGTGGGACTCTGGGTTTGCTTTACGGCCCAAGTGGCACAACAGTGACATGCAGAGCATAGCAACTGCCCTGGGAGGCCATAACAACCAGTTGACAATCAATGCAGGACAGACTGCCCAAGCCCAGAAGCACACCAATCCTGAGACTGTTGCCTACCCCTAGACACTCCCCTTATGCTACCCAATAAATCCCCAGCCTCCTGTTTCCTCGGGTCCTTCTCCTGTCATCCACCGAGATGAATGGATGGACGAAGGGCCCAAGTTAGTGGGGTTAGCTTGTTAAACAATAAAATACTCTTTGCTTTTGCATCAGAATGTGTCTCTTGGTGATTTTGGGGGTTCAGAATTTGGGCACAACATGTATGAGTGTGTGTGTATGTGTATGTGTGTATGCATGTGTTCTTGTGTGTGTGAGTGCATGTGTGCACGTGTTCGGGCACGTGTGTGTGTGTGTGTGTGTGTGTGTGTGTGTGTGTGCGCATACATGTGGATGTCAGTGGCAGAATTGTTGACTTCCTTCTTCTCTTCCTCTATGTGGGTCCATTGGTCAGGCTCAGTGGTAAATACCTTTATTCGCTGAACCATCTCATTGGTCCAAGCAATGACATTCTGAAGAGCCTGGGAAAGTCTGCCGCTCTGAGCTTCCCCCTGCCAAGACCACCCTTGCTTTTCCTTACCTTGCTTTTCCTTTTTGATTTTCCTTAGAAAGATTTTCTCAGGCGCATCTTGAAATGCGTACACTCGAGGCCCTCCTGAGGAGCACTCCTGAGGAGCACTCCTGAGGTGCAGCTATTTGTCCACATTTCTTGGGTGGTTGAGAACCACTGTCCTAGGGAAGCAGGATAGCCAAGCAGAAGCTTTCCAGAAATTAACCTTTCAAGGAGTGCTTGGTGCTGTGATTTTCACCCTCGGGGAAAATGGAGGACTGTTGGTTCCCTATAGTTAGCTGTGATTTTCCTAGGAACATAACTTTGAGTGCACGGCTCCAAAGCTGGTGTTTAACCTGGAGTAGCTTGGCTTACAGAGCCCACAATCCCAAGACACCACAGTGTTCATTCTGAGTCCCCCTGAGCAATACACAGCAACCTCAAGGAAGTGTGACACAAAGCCCATTTCTCTCTGGAAATTGGCTGTCGAGAAGCCCTGCTGTTGGTGCTAGTGTGGAAATGAGAAAATGAAGAGGATCAAGAGAAGACAGGCAGCTCCACATCAGAAACTGGAAGTGGGGTTGAGTGTTAGGAGGGCTTTCCTGTATGGCTCTGTGAACACAGGCCTGGCTGAACCCCAGTGTGCCTGCCATGCTGGATTGCCAGTGTCCCAGGCCCACAAGTGGCCCAGAGGACTTTATAGCTCCATGGAAAGGTCTCTGATGTCTATTATTATTATTATTTATTATTATTATTACTATTATTTTATTTTCCAAATCAAATCTTGGGTCCTTGCTAGACAAGGGCTCTACCACTGAGCTATACTCCCACTCCTGTCACACAGGCTATAAACAAGGCTTCAGCACATGTTAGCTTTCAAGGAGGGAAGGTTTGCTTTGACTCAGGTTTTGGAGGGTAGTGTCAATACTAGGCTGGCCCTGTTGCTTTGGGGCCTGAGGTAAGGCAGCAGGGCATGCTGGAGCATGGGAAAGAAGAGTGGGCAGGGCTAAGGTGTCAATATCCCCTTCAAGGGCTACCCCCAATGACCTAAACCTCCCACCTCCTAAGTGTCCTACCACAGGTGGTGATTAAACCTTCGTCACATGGGCCTAGGGGACATTCATCTAAACCATAGCAACTTCCAAGTTTCTGTCCTTGGAAGTATGAGCCAAGACATCTTTATAAAAAGTTGTGAGTTGCCAAAGCCCCACAGGGGAACAAGGTGGAGAGGTCCCCAAAGGGATGTTTCTTGAAAACACGAATCCATCAAGAGTTGCCCCTGAAAAGCATCCCTAAAGAGCTGTGGATTAGAGAACACGAAGAAATTGCTAGTGAAGTAAAACCCCATTTGAAGTCTGGGAAGTGCCTGTACTGAATAGATGTCGTTACTCAGATCTAAGATACGGAAGAACCAGGTCTGATGGCACACACCTGTAATCTTAGCACTCAGGAGGCTGAGGAAGGAGGATTGCAAGTTGGGGGACACTTTTGGCTACATTGCAAGACTCTGTTCCAAACAAACAAAACAACCCCCCCAAACTACCCATCAAACCAAAGCAGTAAAGAGTAGGGAGGGCTCCAAATGACCGAATTAAATGCTTGATGCAAACAACTTAGAGGTGGAAGAATCTGTTTTGACTCAGTTTCAGGGGTCCAGTCCATGGCTGCTTGGATTCGTACTCTTGAACAGAACGTATTGGTGGTCAGAACATTATGATAGAAGGTTGTGTACACAGAGGGCAGGAAGCAGTGTGAGGGTGGAGGGAAGTAGGCAGGGTAACTATACTCCCAAGCACCCACCTCCTCCAGCTAGGTTCCACCTAAGGCAGGCCTTGAGAACCTCACAAAGCAGTGCCATCATTTAGGGACAAAATATTTAGAACAGAGCCTGTGTAGGACATATCACATCACAGCAAGGTCCTAATAGTGGCCACTGATGTGAGACCCTGTCCCTCTGTCTTCAGGTATCGTGTAAACTTCAGGCCCAGATTCGTCACTAGGTACAAGACAGTGACCCAGTTGGAATGGAGATGCTGTCCTGGCTTTAGAGGAGTAGACTGCCAAGAAGGTCCCAGAGACCCCCTGAAGATCCCCCGGCCCCCACCTGCTCGACCAAGAAATAACTTGAAGAAAGCCACAGGTAATGTCTCATTGGTGCCCTGTTGTGTGTGGTCACCTTGGATGGTCCTGGCATTGATGCAAATGGCAGGGTCTACAATGGACAACTGAACAATACTTAGGTAGTGGAAATGTGTTTGAAGGGGCAAGGGACGGTTGGGTGGCACACTTCGTTACAACTAAATTTCTTCTTTAGGCCACTTGTCAAGCATTTCCTTTATTCTTATATCTGAGTTTATGGGAGTTAAGACTCTGTTTTTAAAAAATCGGCAGATTGGCCAGGAGTGTTAGTGTACCTCTGGGAGGCAGAGGCAGGAGGATCACTGAGAGTCTGAGGCCAGCCTGGGCTACAGAGTGAGATTCTGTCTCAATAAGAGAATTAATCAAAACTGAGTAAAATAAAAATAGACTGTAAGTCCGTCTGTGTTTGGATGAGCTGTTTGCAAAGCTGAGCCAAAGTCAGAATTCTCTTGTGTCCCTCGCCTTTATTCTTAAACATAAAATGGACAGGGTAAACTTCTATGAGTAACATTTTTCCTTACTATTTTGTGTTGTATAATTTTATTCCTCCCTCCCCCTTTTAATTTCAAAGAAATGCAGACCAACTTTTCCTTGCCCTTAGGTTTGGTTAACCCGAGCCTGTGGTGAGGGGCGCAGCCATCTCTCCCGAGTGCAGGGTGGGGCCAGCTCTTTTTCTAGTATCTTAAGTGGATTTTAATAAACAAAAGCTGCTTCCTATTGCAGTCTTGTGGGAAATTGATGAGAAGAAATAAGAAACATGAAACTGGAGTACCCACGGCACTCTGGATCCAGGGTCTTTCATTGTTAGGCACACACACATGGTATATGATTGCATCTGTGTTGTTTGGCTTTTTCCTTTCCGTGCCAGTGAGAGCCTTGTCCAGAGTTCCTCCACCATCTCCTCTACCGCCATCCAGGGTGTGGCCATTTTGCTCTCACTACTCAGCTGCTGTGGGTTTCTGTAGCTTCTATCTTGTTTGACTTCGTGCTCTCTCTATTGATATAATCCCATTTCTGATCTAGTGTTCTCTCTATTGATGACGGAACCCTATTTCATGACTCATTACTGTGATTAGTATCTGTCTTTTGGATTGTTTTCCTGGGTTCTTTTTTTCGGAATAAGATTATTAGAAATTGAATGTTTATATGCTTCTATGTCTTTTTCTTTTCATTTTTCATCGTGTGTGTGTGTGTGTGTGTGTGTGTGTGTGTGTGTGTGTGTGTGTGTGTGTGTGTGCGCACGCGTGCGCACTGGGGACTGGAACTAAGACTTCACAATGCTAGATAAACATTTCTTTTGTATTTAGTATCCACCCTCTTCATAACAAGACTCTTTTAGCATAAGGATGCTAAGCCAAGTGAAAGAGATTTCTGGAGGTGTTTTGACAACAGTCTCTCTGTGTTTTGTGGTATTTTATCACGAGCAGTCAGCTAGTGGGGTATCTACAGTTCACTGGGAATGATGTGTTCCTATGATACAGTAGATGATATGATAGCATCAGGATGAAAAATACCCGATTATCTTGCTTTGTGTGTGCAGGCTTCTAGCAGCTCTGGTAGGGATGCCCATCTTCTTTATAAAGGAGGGCAGTGTAGCTCACAGAAATTAATTAATTAATTAAAAATTACAGAACCAGAATAGGAAAGAGGTCTGCTTGACTCCAAACTCGTTCTCTGCCACAGGACTGCTTGCAGTCAATGCGGCTGCCACGGAAGGCTTCAGAATCTTCTACCAGCACCTTGAAGAAACTGGCTTAAGGTAGAAACTGGCCATTCATGTCCCACTCTTTCTTTCAGATATTGATCCAAGCCGAGTCTCACAGCCTAAGGAAACTTTGTCACCGACAGATGCAGCAGAACCAGGTCAGGTAGCGGATCCAAAGCAAGGTATTCCAGAACTTCAGCAAACGAAAGTTCAGGTGCTGGAGGAGAAGGTGGTCCGACTCACCAGGATGGTCCTGGATCTTCAGTCCTCCATGGCAGGACTGAGGGAGAACCTCAAACACACCATTCAAGACGATGGCAACAAAGGGCCAGCCCCGTGGCTTGGTCACCTGCACCCGCAGCAGCCAACCCCTGACAGCACCTCTGTGGGAGACACAGAGCCAAGTCAGCTTCCTGGCCTCCTCAATAACAAGGAATCTGGCATGAAGGACATCAAGTCTGAATTGGCTGAAGTCAAAGACACACTGAAGACCAAGAGTGATAAGCTGGAAGAGCTTGACGGGAAGGTAAAGGGCTATGAAGGGCAGCTCAGGCAGTTACAGGAGGCTGCCCAGGGTCCCACAGTCACCATGACAACCAATGAGCTGTACCAAGCCTATGTGGACAGCAAGATAGATACCCTAAGAGAGGAGCTCATGGAAGGCATGGACCGGAAGCTGGCCGACCTGAAGAACACATGCGAGTACAAGCTGGTAGGCCTGCAGCAGTGTGATGACTATGGGAGCAGCTACCAGGGGGTGATAGACCTGATCGGGGAGAAGGAGGCCAGCCTGAGAAAAGACATCGCCGACCTTCGAGCCCGGTTGCAGGATCCCTCAGCCCAACCAAGTTGCTGTGACAGCCAAAAGAATGGTGACTTTGGCCAGCAGATCAAGACATTAGACCAGAAAATCGAGAGAGTTGCCGAGGCCACCAGGATGCTGAATGGACGGCTGGACAATGAGTTTGACCGCCTCTCCATTCCAGAGCCAGATATGGACTTCGATGCAAGGTGGAACGAGTTGGATGCAAGGATCAATGTTACCGAGAAGAATGCAGAAGAGCATTGCTTCTACATCGAGGAGACCCTCCGGGGGGCCATCAACGGTGAGGTGGAGGGCTTGAGGCAGCTTCTCAGTCAGAAAATTCATTCCCTGGAAGACCGTCTGGGGACTGTCCTGCAAGTGGCCAATAGCTCTGACGTGGAGCTGACACCGGTGGGCCCTGCCTTGCCCGGGCAGCCAGAGGCAGGGAATGCACAGGTCCTAATGGAGTTGAACCGCCTGAAGGACAAAGTTCAAGTGGTTGAGGACATCTGCCTGCAGAGCCTACCTCATGGGATAGATGGTACTTTACCGAGTGGAGAGGACCTCACACATGTCAGCCCGAGCCTTTTGGAATCCCTCAACAACACGATGCACAGGCAGTTCCAAGAAACGGGTCGCAGCATCCAGAAACTTCGGGAGGACTTCCACTCTCTTCTGAATCACTCAGAGTGCAAGGGGAATTGTTTGCCCAGCAGAATGAGTGACAGCGGAACAGGCGACAGTGCCGAGGCAAGCGGGTTTACTAAGTCAGGGAAGCAAGAGAGGACAGTGGGGACTGTCCCATCTGCTGGGGCCCCTGTGGCTCCGTGCTGCGGCCAGCTGGAGGAGCGCTGGCAGAGGCTGCAGAGCCAAGTGCTGGCTGAGCTGGACACATGTAAGGAGAGTGCTCAAGGGGTTCAAAGTGGAGTGTCTGCGGTTGAGGGCAGGGTGTCTCAACTGGAGCAGACATGTGGCAGGCTGGATGCCATCTCCGGGGGTCTTCAGAGGATCAAGGAAGGCCTCAGCAAACATGTGGGCAGCCTGTGGAACTGTGTCCGGCAGATGAACGGGACGCTCAGGTCACACTCCAGAGACATCTCTGGCCTCAAGAACTCTGTGCAGCAGTTCTACAGCCATGTTTTCCAGATCTCTACAGACTTGCAAGACCTGGTTAAGTTTCAGCCATCAACAAGTAAGTGGACTGACACCCCATCCCATCATTTCCATTTGCAGCCTGTGGCAGAGTATGCTAGTGTTTTGGATGGTTTTGGAATTAACTACATCAGGGCTTCCCCCCAGATAAGATCTATAGATCAGTGACAGATCTAACATAGATCAGAAGCAACATGCCAACAGTAAGGATACCCACCAGGCTGGGAGATGTAGCTTAGCTGGCAGAGTGTTATCCTAGCATGCATGAGGTCCCAAGTTCAATTCCCAACACCACCTCAAGGGAGGTGTGGTGGCTAGAACTTGGGAAGCGAAGGCAGGAAGATCAGAAGTTCAAGGCCAACCTAGGTAATACGAGACCTTGTCTCAAAAGAAACATACACACACACACCCTCACTCACACACACACTCACATACATACACACCAATACATGTGCATGCACACACACACACACACACACACACACACACACACACAAGGCCAACCTACGTTATGTGAATCATGTCTCAAAAGAAACACACATGAGCACACATGCTCAAATGCACTCACATTCATTCATGCTCACATATGCAACCCCCAGGTGCATACACACAGACTCACATACCCACACATACATTTACACATGCACTTTTATCGAAGTGTCAGTTTGTAACACATTGTACGTAGGAAAGGAAAATCTAATTCTCCACAGACAGATGGCAAAGAATAGGTATATGCTATATGTGGGATAGGGAAAAGGCTTCCTAAGCACACAGCTGGTGTCCCACAAGTACTGTGGGCCCTGGAAGTCTGGGAGACCCAAAAGGCTGAGTGTTACATGGCGGCACAATGATCTTTGTGTGGTGCCAGCTCTCTCTACCTACAAGCTCTATGGTAGAGTTACATTCCATAGTGCCAGTTATGTGTTGAGGAAACTGTTTCCCAACCTTCCCTCTCCTTACTTTCTCTTGTCCCCCCTTGCAAGCTGTCACCTTTTCTACCATGTTAACTGTGACACAGAGGTGAGCCTTCCTGGTTCCTGAGAGCCTGTGGCCTGGGCCCCCACTGAGGAGGAGCTGTGGAGAGGCCAAGGCCAGGTGCTGGCATCTCCTGAGATGTGAGGAGAATTTATGGTAGTCAAGTAGACATGCTCTGGATTTTGTCTGTAGAGCACGGTGCTCATTTTGTAGATAAGGTGTCACTAGGGCCAAGTAGGGCTGGAAACTGGCCACTGTCCCCAGACCTAGTTATCGGCAGGACACAGCCCCCATCTCTCTGATCTCTCAGCCCCTGTATCTCAGGAATGCAGAGTTAAGGTCATGAGCCCTGTGTGATCACAGGGCAATTGTCCGTTGTGGTCAAAATGCTGTCTGCACTGTGCTTTACAACAACAGATGCAGCCAAATATTTCCAGCTAATTGGCAGTGCTGGACAGCGTGGGAATCTGTGTCTGTTCTGAGGCTCTTCTATGCAGAGTCAGAGATTAGTAACTCTGAAGACAATGTGGGTTTCACGTACCATCCTTCTGATTGGGGTCCTGCTGTGAATACAGACCACATGGGCCTGGGAGAACTTGTGACTGAGAGGAACCAAAAATTAAAGAGTAGTGTTCTGTGATGTCCAGAGCCCCCCAGACCCAGGAGACCTGGAACCTGGAGTGACTCTGGAGCTAAGGTTGAAGTCACACATCAAACAGTTGAAAGGCAATGGGACATTTACTGAGCACTGACTGTGTGGGAGGTTCTGTGTGGGGTTCAGAGACCACAGGGACCCCCATAAAGCATCCTCAGGTCCATGGAGACAGTGCGCAATCTGCACACAATGAAGGGGGGGTGTTAAAGTGAGTTGTGCAGGGATCCCACTCTCAACTCATGTAGCTGGAGTTTCTTTCCACCTGGTCCCACAGCTGATCAGCTCCAAATAAACACACAAAGACTTACATTAATTTATAAACTGTTGGTTGATGGCTAGGGCTTCTTACTGGCCAACTCTCTCTTAATTATTAACTACTAATCTATGTATTTCTACATGACTTTATCTTACCAGAGGACACCTGGTGCATCCTATCTGTCCCGTCTCTACATGGTGTCTCTCTCTGGTGGCTTCTCTCTGCCTCCTCTTCCCAGAATTCTCCTCATCTCATATCCTTGCCTATACTTCCTGCCTGGCTAGTGGCCAACAGTATTTTATTCATCAACCAATAAGAGAAATGTAGATACAGAGGACATCCCCCCATCACCCTCTCATGCAGTGCACCCCTTGTACATAGTAGATGGTGGGGAATGTCTGGTGGAGACCCAAAGAGATTCACAGGAATTGGCTGTTCCCAAGCCTCTCTGGATGCGTGGAGACCCAGAGGGCTTCTCAAAGGAAGAAGTCTCAGTGCTGAGCTTCCGAGTTTAAGCAGTTACTGAATCCAGTTGAGAGAGATGCCAGGGTGAGCAGTGAGGTGAGAGAACCATCTAGAAGAATGTGAATGGGTAACTAAGAAATGGGTGGAATTCAAAAGGCAGGAAAAAAGGCATCTGTGGAAGGCTCTGGTGTGAAAAGGTGTTACTTTTTGCTGTGTAATCTCCTACCCCAATTTTGGTGGTAATTATTTTACGTTAGGCCGGGGGCAGGAGCTTGCACAGGGCTGGGCTCAGCAGCTCTTCTGTGTAATGTCAGCCCAAGTTAGTCACATACCCAACTTAGCTCTGTGCTGTGCTTGGCAGGAAGGTACAAGTTCATGTGGGCCACAGACCTGGAGTCTTGGTGATCCTCCATGTGTGACCCCTTTCCCTGTGTCCATGTGGGCTTCCTCTCAAGTAGTCTGGCTTACAAATATGGCAGCTGGCTTAAAGAGGGGAAGCAAAGCTGTGGTATCCTATAGGTGGGGACTGAGAGAGCCTGGAAGTGTCAGTCACATTCACTCTGTTGGCTGCAGCAAGCAAGCCCTTGAAGGGCAATACAGTTGTCATATTGGGTGACAAGGAGTTCTGATGGTGAGTCCCTTCTCCTGCAGTGAGGACCAGTCCAGATGAGGGGCTGAGTGTTATATTTTTGTTTAAATTAGATGTAAAGAAAAAGAGGAAGGCTGCAAGATGAGACATATTGACTAGTTTATTATAGGGTCCGGCAGAGTAGGGAGACTAAGAGAGACTGCAGAGAGAGCACATAGGTGGGAGAAGAGAGAGTGAAGCAGAAGCAGAGAGAGAGAGTAGAGAGTAAAAACGTGAGCAGCAGGGAAGTTGGGACTTTTAAAGGGAAGACTGCACTGAGGTTCCACGCATCCTCAGAGTCCTCAGCAGGCCGTAATGTGTGGCGGGTGACGTGGTGATGACGTAGCATGTTTTCCTGTGCGTGCCCTGACTGTTGTCAGGGGGCAGGGTCTGTCTCTTAAAGAGATATTGCCGATCAGTATTAAAGCCTGACCCTTTCATTCCCACCTCTACTTATTATTTAAAAAGGTAGGGTGTTAGACATGGCAGGGTAAGGAATAAGTAGGTCGAATTTTCAAGACTGCTTCCTGCTGACGTGGGGGGTGTTGACCATCTTTGGGGGACCTGAGAAGGTTGGGGTGCTGCCACATCCTGGGGTAGCTGGTTATTCCAGGCTGTGCAGAACTCCTTGGCACTTCTTAGACCTGTTTGTTTGGATCCAATTCAGCTCCCTGGAACTTACAAGAATCCTTAGAGTTTGTGGAAACATAAGTATTAGACACATTAGCAGCATATTTTGTTAGAAGCAACTTGGCTGAAAGCATTAATGTTTTAAAATTGACAGATATTTTTTAGGACAATGAAAAGCATCTTAATCTTGACCTAGTAGTTATGATCGTACAGTAGCATTGTAGAACTAACTATGAACAGTAGCATGAGAAATAGAGAAATCA